TTTCCTAAAGTATTATAATCTTAAAATGTGACAGAGACCACCTGCTACATGTCAGCTCACGATAGAAAGTGATATGAGTATAGATTACATTTTTTAAAAACGGAACAAAAGTAGAAAGCAGTTTTTATAGTTTTATATATTTATATGTTGTAGAATGCAGCGGATGGTAACGGTACAGAGAGGAAGGACCAAACTCTTCTTGTGTTACGTTTTTCCTCGACTGTTCATGCGCTCCACTTTGATTTTCAGAAGTTTTTCAAAAGATTGAACCTCAGAGTTTAAGTTCATATTAGTTTATTGACCAAAGCAACTAAAATCAATCCTGGGGGGGTCATTACAGAGCGGTCTGAGGGGATGTCGTTATCATCCCGAGCCCTCAGCGGACCACTGAGGCCAGAGCTCAGGTCCGCTCACTCTGATTGGTCGGCTCGGGACCTCTCTGGTCTCTTTGGTCTCTCAGGTTTCCAGCTCTGATTTGCTCCAGAGGGAATTAGAGGAAACTGTAGCTAATGTGAAAATGCCTCAGGGACAAACATGATGACACACTGAAATGACCTTTGACCTCAGGGACTTCATTAACGAGCCACAGTGATAGAGAAACAGTTTAGTCTCTGAGGGGTTTACATTAATCACAAACTTCTCAGGTTCCTGATTTTCAGTGAAACCAGTTTGAATTAGAACTTTTTAAACACCATCAGTAATAAATGTATTAAACTAAGACTTCACATTCGTCTAACGCCTGCTGAAGTCACGCACCCTCACATCTAAAGACAATTATACAGGTTCAGAGTTTTCCAGTTAGTCTCGAGGGAAATCGGACTGAAGTTAAACTAGCTTTTCTGGATCAGTCCCTCTGATAGAAAATGGATTCGGATTTTCACTCCTCCAGGAACCAAAATACTTTAATACACAACTGTAGGATTTAAGCCACACACACGATGGTTCTCACCTGATTAAATGAAGTTAAAAGTTCAACCAAAGATAGTTTGAAGGCCTCCTGCATCTTTGACTAACCCTGAGTTTTCAGTTCCATTAAAGCTGATCAGAGCATGAATGGACCACGTTTCATCGTGTGAACAATCTGAGTGTGAAGACCACTTTCAGGCTGTCTGGGGGTTCGAAAACTTACTTTTTAAACCACTGTAGTCCACTTTAAAACGTTCACATTGACGGCGTCCTTGGACGAATTTGTGACATTTGTTTTCAAAACCAGCTCAATATTTCTGCATTTTTACATGCGAATAAAAAGATCTGACCAATCAGAACGCTGCATTTGGTACAAGTCTGTTAACATGCACATGTACTGAATATTTAGTGAGATGGAAACATTGAAATACTCCTGTTTCCCTCAGACTCACAGCTGGCTACTGCTCCGGGTCGGTTGACTGTCTGAAATCATCCTTCTGCCTCCTCAGATGTGGTCCCAACTCTGCACACAGAACTCGAGCCCACTGACATCCTGAAACATGGACCAAAGCTTCGGCCATCAAACCAGGAAACCCTCCCTGCTGCTGCTGCTGCTCCTGAGAATCGGATGAACCAGAATCTCAGTTTCTGCCTGTTCAGAAACGTCAGGAATGATGAAAACCTCATGTCCATTGATGAACACAACAATGGACATGAGGAGCTTCTTTCACAGAAAAAACTCAGATGTTATTTTATATATTAAGCTTTGTATGTTGTTCAGTATATTTCTATGCAAAACAAGAGGAATTTCAATACACAGCCGTATATTCACAGTTGAAACCAGATATTTACACTTTATGGAAAACACAAGAACATTTTTTTACTGTACAACATCAATTTAGAGTAAACTTTTGTTTTAGATAAATATTGAAATATATTTTGAATTAGTTAAATGTCAGAATAAAGAGAGACAGAGCTTCTATTTTTATCACTTTCATCAAATGTAGGAGTACATGAACACTAAGTTTATTGTTAAATAATAAGAAAACCAGACGATTCCATTCTGAGCTGAAGAAGCTTCTGATTGGTTCGTAGAGTCCATGTGAGTAAACTGGTGGCACAGCTGTGGATGCATATAAGGCAAAACACAGAGCCTGTTTCTGTGACATGGGAACATCAGGAGATGTCAACAAAACACCAGGAAGAGAACTGTGGAGCTCCATAAGTGTGGCTCAGTTTGAATACAATTTGGTGCCATTTACAAGAAACACAGACAGTTTCTCTCTTTACGCTTAAAGTTAAAAAATATGTTTTTATATTTATCTAAAATATAAACATTTAGTCTGATTTGATGTTACAATTAAAAAAGTGTTTTTATCTGAAGAGTTTGTAAATATCTGGTTTCAACTGTATGTTTGACGCAAAGAGAGAGAGAGGAACAGAGGGGGTGTTACGTCCCCCCCACCATGGTGGAGGCAAAGGTAGGAAGGAGACAGCAACACTGGACAACCACAATCAATGAAGGAGGAAGACCACCGAACAGTTAAGAATCAGACAGGATTTATTGGTTGCTTGCCTTGATAGTCAAACTTAACAAAAGAAAAGAGGTGGGGGAGGAGGACTGGGCGGTTGATCCAAATCAAAGAAATTAATAAAACAAACAGAGGTCGAAAGCTTCCAGGGCCTAACTGAAACAAAAAATGCAAAACAAAAGGCTTACCTAGCTACTACAAAAGGACAGTGAAAACATACAGGAGTGGCATCAGCCGCATAACCTAGTGTGACGAACAGTTTAAAACCTGCAACCAGTGCACAGGGTACCCCAGCTTACCCATCCAGCCTCCCACCACACACAATACAAAGAAGCCTGTTCATGTGTTTGTCATAAAGCTGGCCAGGGAGCTGCTCATTTGTAGTGATCCTCGGAGAGTGATTGGCCAACTGTGCCCAGACCAGCCAATAGACACATGCCAATCAACTTTGAACTGGCCAATAGGTGGAGGCTTGACACCTGAAAGATAAAAAGTACACCAAAAGCAAAGCCACATCCTTTCCAGGGATCCCAGAACACTGTGAATCCAGAGCGAGACTTTATCCTGCACTCAGAGCAAAGCCAAAGATGTTTGCATCTATCGTCTCTTACATCGTATTTTACAGTTACACAATGAAACTGTGTGATCGTTATGAGCTTTCAACATGGACACACAACACATAAATATACACAACAGGCAGGTTTATGTGATGTAAGGGGGGCATTATAGGGGAGGAGCTGGTGTTTGTGGTGGTGCTTTCAGCTGGAGGGACAAACTGTTTATCACTGGTGGAGCACACAACGCTGCAGCTGGCCTTTTCCTGTCCACGTCCAGCATTTACTGAGCCCAGACCTGAGAGACAAGTTCCCACAATCCCTCTGTGCTACAAAACACTTCCTGTCAGAAGTGGGATTTAAACCCACACCTCCAGGGGAGACTGGAACCTGAACAGAGCAACTTAGACTAAGACTGATCGCAGAGGCCCGGACTTGGTTTTGCTGGTGGCCCACCTGTGGGCTCCTACAAGGAAGAATTCAGCACAACACAAAAGTCGAGAAGATGTTGGTCCCACTACTGTGTTTGTTCTGAGAGCTGGGTCAGAACCTCATCCCTCTATCCAGTGAGAGCAGTACTCCACAAATACAATGAGGTAAACAACGCTACCACCCAGGCATCACTCTGACCAGTGTTTCTCTGTGAATGTCGCATTCCCGTGGCAGCGTGCTCGCTGCTCACTCAGATTAGAAGTTTTCTTCCCATGCAGAGTGTAGAGCAGACGCTTATGTTTGTCTCACTTTTTACAGAATCAAACTCAAAGTAATGTGACTACTTCCAAGCTTTAAATGCTGCACAGTTGTACTCTCTCCATATTATCCATTGTTGAGGTACACCCATCTGTTACCACTAAAGTCACGCGCACTCATGTCATTGTCATGAGACACTCTCACACATAAAATCATGGTTTAATAACGCAGTAACGCAGCGTGCTTACTGGAAAGTAACTTTAATTTGATTAATTTTTGTAATAGTAATCCCTTATTTTACTCATTACTTGTAATGCCCCTCCCTCATCCTGGTCATGGTGGACAGATGCCCCTCCCTGACTGTGATTATGGCTGATGGATGCCCCTCCCTGATTGTGGTCATGGTTAGGATGTGTCTGAGTACAGAATGACCGCTCAGGTCTTATAAACTCTGCTTTAAGTGTGTTTAAATTTCTGCTGTTAAATCAGCAGAAAGATGATGTACATGTGTGTCTTCTCTCAAAATGCAGCTGCTGTTGTGGACAAACGAGCTGAGCCTAGGTTTGCCAGCACTTATCAGCTGGCAAATTAAGAACATCTCATTACAACGTTTGTGGTGTTGTCCTCTTGTGGGTGGTGGGGAGGACGCAGGAGGCACTAGAGGTTGAGTGCTTGGTGGATTGGGTGGCAGTCAGGGGCAGAGGTCTTGGTATTCTGATCCCCGGATTCCAAAAATGGCTTGTGATACATGGGTGTCGCCTCGCTCGTATGGAAGGAGGCGGAGCTGGTGTGTGAGGTTGGGAGATCAGGGTGACCATGTGGATGGAGGGCTTCCTGCTGCCGCTGACCTGTTCATCTACGGCCTCGAACTGGACGACGTCAGCAACAGCTTGAGCACGTGTGCGACGTGCACGCTGACCAGCCCGACCCTCAGGGCCCCTGTTTAATCGTGTCTGAATCCCTCTGTGTGCTCTGCGTCTCTGATTCACATCTAAACTCTGATTTTATCTTCCTTTTCTCACTCTCTGAGTTTAAATCTGATTTTTATTTAACCAGGTTTCAAAGATGAACATTTCCACTTTTGTGTTTTAAATTTCTGCTGTTAAATCAGACAGTGATTAGAGCAGACGTCCAGTAGGATGAACGTCATTTCCCAGTAAACAGCTCCACCTGCTGGTCACAGAGACACAGTGCAGCTAAGCGAGCTGCTCAGTTGCTTTATGTGAGGAAAAACATCTGCTGAGTTTTTCAGACAAAGCTGTTTGCCTGCTGTCGCAGGTACATACACAGTTAACCTGAATATTAAAAACAGACAGTGTAATGTTCCCATAATTCAGTTTAATTAGTTCTGTCACAGCCAGTGAAATGATCAGGAATAAACAGCATCTCAACATGACAAATACTTTTGATATTTTCATTGTTTTGTTCATCCTACCTTTCAGAACACGGTGTGGGTAATTATTCTTTTATTGTTTTATTGAAATATCAGTTTTTCTGTTTTTTCACAGGAAAGTTTTCTAAAATTTATTTAATGTGAATTTTATCAAAGTAAACAGATGTAATATTTGTGCTTAAACAGGTTCCAGACAATGATTTTTATTCATATTTATTGTAAAACTTTTATATCTGAATCATGTGGATTTACTCCCAAACACTTTCTGCTCAAAAGTTTGATTTTTCATCATTTTTATCCCAGTTAGTTTTCACCAGCAGCCCACTGAGTTTTGTTTTAGCCTCAAAAGAAAAGCTTCCAGGATCTAGAAGATTTTTGTTTGACATCATGTGTCTTTGTGTGTGAATGTCGGTCGGGTGGATGGAAGATTAAAAAAACTTTTAAATCCACTGCCGAAAACTTCATCCAACAGTTTTCCAGGATTTGCAAAATCTGAAACATTCCTGCATCACTGCCTTCAGTGGATCTGCAGAGGCAGGATGCTTAAACATGAAGGACAGAACTCAGGAAATCAGGGCCTCTGTGCTGCTCTCACCTTTGACCTCAGCAATAAACTAAAGAGGCAGAGATGTCATCATCCTGCAACTGCAGAGGCTTTTATTCTAAAAAGTAGAAATCAGTCAGGATGTGGCATGGTGAAACCTCCAGGATCCAGAAGACCAGCTCCTGGTCCCACAGGACCTCCATGAGTCCATGAGATCTCCCCCTGTAGGCCTGCGGTGTCCTCACACGCCATCTCTTCTTCATGTGTTGTTTAAGAGCGAGTCAAAGTGGAGACAAACTGGACAGCTGCTCTTCGGCCTCCGGGTTCTTGCTCTGCGACTCCTCCTCTTCCTCCCGGCCCCGCTCTACCTCTCAGAGCTGATTTTGTACCGGAGGACAAAATAAGCAATGAGTCTCAGAGAGAAAAAGAAGATGGTGAGGACAATGAAGTCCAGGTAGAGTTTGGCGTCCAGCATGTCCAGCTCCTTGAGGATTGCCTCAGACTTCTGGAAGTGACACGCCTCACCTTCATCGCAGTGAAGATCATCACGACCCAGGCTGTAGATGGACAGGATGACGCCCTCAAACCCGTACCTGAAACACACAAACACGTTCAGAGAGTGCAGCAGCGCCCCCTACTGTGTGGATACAGCCGCAGGCCCGCCAGCTAACAGCGCCCCCACCTGACGTAAGAGATGTAGGACATCCACTGCAGGTACCAGGGGATGGTATCGAAGCTGACGAAGAACCCGGAGAACAGCAGAACCGGGATCGCCGTGACCGGACCCACAAACGTGGCCACCTACAGGAAGCAAACACACACAAGTGATGTCAGCACAGGAGCACACCTGTGAGCGGACAAGAGGTGATGGAGGAAACAGCGAGCGGACCTGCAGAGAGGTGGAGGCAGCTCCGATAAGCAGACCCAGACTCTGAGCCACCAGAGATGTCAGAATCCCCAGAGACAGGAAGAGGAAGAACCGGCCAGCGTCCGGAGGCTGAGCCGTCATCCAGTACACGATACTGCAGTACACCACCGGGAACACTACCTGTACAACAGCGACACTGCAGGTCAGCGGGTTGATACTGCCAGGTCTCCGTGTGCAACGTTAAGCTGAAGCTCTTAAATCTAGGGCTGCGTCTTGCCACTGATTTCAACAACGATTCAATTCTGATTCACAAGGTTGGATTTTGACTCAGAAATATTATAATTCTGATCAATTATCTTGGATATGTACAGCATGTCCGTGTGCGTGCTGTCGGGCTTACATCCTTTTGCAGAATCTATTCAAGCTGTTTTCAATGTTTGGTTATTGTTGAAATGGTTTTGTGAGGCTGTAGCTGAGATTCTGACATTTCTGGCAAAATACATCAAATTCAGGATTTCGTGAGTCGATATGGGATTATTCAAATTAAAAACTATTTTTTAAACCCACCCCTACTTAAATCTAATACTTTCATTATTAGGGGTGTGGCCTCTTAGACTGACAAGTGGATAGTGATACAGACAGCTGTGGGTGTTCGCTGTCTGCTAGCCTGAGGTGAGGCATCCCTGAACTGGACCATTGCTGGTTTTTTGACATTATCAATATCATTAGCAGTTACCAGAAATATGGCCGGGGTGAAGTTACTGTATTAACTGACTATCCATAAAGGGTGAGCTCCCAAAGTTTCTAACAAAATGATAAACTGTGCCGTCAGAAAAATGACAATAAAACAAGATCTTTCATCATCTTTCATCTTCAAATGTGTCATTAAAGAAAGAGATTCAGGAGCTGGAACCAGGAGCTGCCACTCTAAGTGCAGCTTAGAGATCGATAAAGCTGTGTCTTTGTTACCTGGAAGGGGACATCAGCCATGGTTTTGGCCAGGTAGTACGCTTTCAGGCTGTACCAGTAGTTGAGGTGTTCTCTCAGAAAGACGCCCATCTCCAGAGGAACTGAAGCACAAAAACATGGCAGCAGGTTTTCAAAGGTTGCGACGAATGAAACTCGTCCTTATTACAGAGACTTAGTGTGATGTTCTCTGACAGCAGCTCCCAGAGCGACTGCTAGCTCATAAAATCCCAGAAAAGCTCAAATTTAAAGACACAATTTTACCGTCATTAATCGTGGCAATTGTGGGTGTCAGTTTAAGGATTTTCCCACTGCAGCCTGGATGGGTTTGGCCCTGAGAACATCAATAAAGCTTTTATTGTGTATGAGACAGAGAGTTCCTGAGTCAGTTCCTTTGGTGCTGTTCAGGTAAAAGTGACGCACCTGTTGCTGAGCTCACCTCTGAACACTCAGCTCTATGCTTGAACCTCTGTGATGTCAGAGAGGCTAACACTTCAGAACCTCTGTTTACAAGAGGAAGCCAATCAGAACAAAGTTGTCTTTAAGGGGGAGGGGCTAAAACAGGTTGTATTGCAGGTAGGATAAATGTTCTGTCCACCTTTGTAACAGCAGACCTCGTGTTACACAAGCCGATGAAGGACAGAGAACAGCTGCTCTCCAGCTCGACTCTGATGTATTTGTTACGCCGATGACACCCTGATCTTACTCAAACGTCACCTGTGTGCAGGTAAAGTGACACAGCAGCTTGAGGCGGACTCACAGGTGAGCACCGTGGGCATCAGAGCGGCGAACATGAGGAACAGCATGGAGAAGAAGAGGAACCCCGAGTTACTCAGGACCTTCTTGGCTTCGTTCCCGATACCCAGATACAACAGACCAATAAGAACGCCGATCCCAATGTGAGACGAGATCCTCAGGTGAGTCAGCACCTGCCAATGACAATGCCTTACTTCAAACTGCAATACTGCACAGTAATATTACCACACTGACAGTGTTTTATTTCACAAATCTGTGCTGGAAACCGTCACCACGTGTTTAAGTTACAGTGAAAACAATGTTTTTGTGATTGAAAAGTAATCAGTAAAATGATGTCATTATATATGACCAGACTCAGACCAGAGTTTTAGGAGATTAGGAAGAAAATTGGCAAGAAATTATCTGTAAACCCGTCTAAGGAGCTTAGAAAGAAAAGCATCTGGACTTCTTTAAGTTTCTTGAAGACATTTCATCTGAGAAGCTTCTTAAATTCTATGAGCAGCTGGTGAAGAGTCACAGATTTTTACACCCTGTATCAGGATTATCAGAAAAACACATCCCAGTGTCCTTCAGACCCAGACAGAAACTAAACAATATAGTGTAGCTGTGAAGTGCAGGAGGAGTGCTCAGACTTCTAATAATAATGGATTGCATTTATATAGCGCTTTTCTAGGCACCCAAAGCACTTGACAATTCCACTATTCATTCACTCTCACATCCACACATTGGTGGAGGCAGCTACGGTTGTAGCCACAGCTGGGGCGCACTGACAGAGGCGAGGCTGCCATATCGCGCCATCGGCCCCTCTGGCCAACACCAGTAGGCGGTAGGTGAAGTGTCTTGCCCAAGGACACAACGGCCGAGACTGTCCGAGCCGGGGCTCGAACCGGCAACCTTCCGGTTACAAGACGAACTCCCAACTCTTGAGCCACGATCGACCCACTGGAGACACCAAACAGCCACCTCAACAGGACAACACTCAGTTGTTCATCTGCATCTAAAGGTCAAAGGTCACTCTTTGAGAGTAATCCAATGATGTTCAGGAACAAATGAGGAAACAAAGTAGTTGAGATCTCTCAGTCTGGAAAAAGCCATTTCTAAAGCTGTAGGAATCCAGCGAACCAAAGTAGAAGCCTTTATCCACAAATGAAGGTCAGTGCTCACGACTCAGGAACTTCCAAGACAAAAACCCCGGCTGAGCAAAAGGAACATAAAGGCTTGTCTCAGTTTTGCAAGAAAACATTTGATGATCCTCAAGACTTTTGAAAAATATTCTGTGGAATGATGAGAAAGTTGGATGTGTGTCCTGTGTAGCAGTAAAGTACACAGATCTGCAGCTCAACGTGGCAAAGACCAAGGAACTGATCGTGGACTTCAGGAAGACCAGGAAACACTTGACCCCTGTTTCAATCCAGGGGGTCAGTGTTGACATTGTGGAGGACTATAAATACCTTGGAGTTCACATTGACAATAAACTGGACTGGGCTAAAAACACCACAGCACTTTACAGGAAGGGCCAGAGTCGTCTCTATTTTTTGAGGCGACTGAGGTCCTTCAACATCTGCCAGAAAATGCTGAGGATTTTCTACGAGTCTGTTGTGGCCAGTGCGATCCTCTATGCTGTTGCATGCTGGGGGAGCAGGCTGAGGGTCGCAGATGCCAACAGACTCGATAAACTGATTCGTAAGGCCAGCAATGTTGTGGGGATGGAGCTGGACTCCCTCAAGGTGGTGTCGGAGAGGCGGATGCTGTCCAAGATAAAGACAATGTTGGATAACACCTCCCACCCACTCCATGACATGCTGGTCAGTCACAGGAGCACGTTCAGTGAGAGACTGAGATTACCGAAAAGCACCACTGAACGACACAGGAAATCATTCCTGCCTGTGGCCATCCCTGTACAACGCATCCACTTAACACACTGGTTACTGCTACAACTACACCTCATGTTTCTTTTCCAGCTATTTATTTATGAGTGACTTATGTATGTATGTATGTATATATGTATATATTGTACTATTCTTAGTTAGCGTATTGTCTGTCTTGTCTTAATGTTGGTTTATGGGTATATGGAGCACTGTAACAAAAAATAATTTCCCCCAGGGATCAATAAAGTATTCTGATTCTGATTTCAAAAAAGGATTGTATCAACAGCAAAATATGGTTGTGTGATGGTCTGGGGCTGTTTTGCTCCTTCAGGACTGGAGTGCACTGGGTTCTGCAGCAGGACAAGGATCACAAACTCACCAGCAGGCCACATCTGAACTGCTTAAAAAATGAAGACTTGGAGTGGCCTAGTCAAAGTCCTGACCTGAATCTGATTGAGATGCTGTAGAATGACACTGAGTGAGTGGTCCAAAATTCCTCCACAGCTGTAAAAGACTCATTGCCAGTTATCGCAAATAGTTGTTTGCAGTTGTTACCTGCAATCAGTGAAGTTATGTTTTATCCTCAGGTTTCAGAGCTCAGCACAGCACAGAAACAGCTTTAGTGAAGGTTACAAATGATCTTCTTATGGCCTCTGACAGTGGACTCATCTCTGTGCTTGTCCTGCTAGACCTCAGTGCAGCGTTCGATACTGTCGACCATAATATCCTATTAGAGCGATTAGAACATGCTGTAGGTATTACAGGTACTGCATGCAGTGGTTTGTATCATATCTATCTAATAGACTCCAGTTTGTGCATGTAAATGGAGAGTCCTCTTCACACACTGAGGTTAATTATGGAGTTCCACAGGGTTCAGTGCTAGGACCAATTCTGTTTACATTATACATGCTTCCCTTAGGCAGCATCATTAGAAGACATAGCATACATTTACACTGCTATGCAGATGACACCCAGCTCTATCTGTCCATGAAGCCAGATAACACACACCAATGAGTTAAACTGCAGGAATGTCTTAAAGACATAAAGACCTGGATGGCCGCTAACTTTCTGCTTCTTAATTCAGATCAAACTGAGGTTACTGGACTCGGCTGCCTGACCTATAGGAGATTCCCATGATGCACTGAGTGTTTCTTGTTTATACACTTTATTTTTCTACACCTCTCTGCATTGTGTTATCATTAGTTATTATTAATCTCTGTCTCTCTTCCACAGCATGTCTTTATCCTGTCTTCCTTCTCTCACCCCAACCAATCACAGCAGATGGCCCCGCCCCTCCCTGAGCCTGGTTCTGCCGGAGGTTTCTTCCTGTTAAAAGGGAGTTTTTCCTTCCCACTGTTGCCAAAGTGCTGCTCATAGGGGGTCATATGATTGTTTTTCTCTGCATGTATTATTGTAGGGTCGACCTTACAGTATAAAGCGGATTTAGGCAACTGTTGTTGTGATTTGGAGCTGTATAAATAAAACTGAATTGAACTGAAGTTGTTGCTGCTGAGGGTGGCCCAAACCAGTTTTTAAGTTTAGGGGGCCATCACTTGGTTTGGATATTTTTCCTCTAAAAATAAACACCTTCATTTAGTAACTGCATTTTGTGTTTACTTGTGTTATCTTTGTCTAACATTTAAATTTGTTTGATCTAAAACATAACAAAAATACAAAAAATAGAAAATTGGGAAGGAGGCAAACACTTTATCACACCAGTATAAATGGTAATGATAATTGTTATGTCAGAGTGATGGAAAAATGGTGTCATCTGTGTGAATCTGAGGTGACGTGTACGGAGGTGTTTGTCACCGAGTCTCTGAGGATGCTGAGAAAGGTCCTCCTGAACAGGATGGAGAACTGCGTCATGCAGCTAGCAGAGAAGCTGTGACAGCCTTCAGACGATGAGCTCTCCTGACGGGAGATCATCACAGGTACATGTTGATTTTCAAAGGACTCATTCGTCATGAAACATTCACAGGAGGTAAAGCGAAAACCTGCCTCTCATCAACCAATCACAGCAGAGGGCGTGCTGTTTTTTTACCTCCTCGGTGCGCTGCCACAGGAAGGGGTGGAGGGTGCTGTCTCCGTTGAGCTCGGGCTGGTGGTCTTTCTCACACTTCTTCTCCTGAGCTGCCGTCACCAGCCTGATCATCTGGTCCCCGTACTCTCCGGACGCCACCTCCATCACTGCGCACAGAACCCATCAGTGAGTCTGACGCCGCGGCGGCCGAGTGGGAACAGCTCGCCGGGCGAGTCTTACCGAAGTCAGCGGGGTTGTGGTACGTGGGGCAGTTCAGCCCGAGGTCTCTCAGGTACGGGACCAGACTGGACACCTGTCCCCTGTAGATACACTGACCCTGACTCAGCACGTACAGCTGAAACACGCACAGAGAGACAGACACAAGTGAAACCCGCACTGAATCATGTTTCTTATCACTCTGTGGACCCACACCAAGGTTTTCAGCTCCAAACACCTTTGTAGAGCACTTCCTGTTCTTCTCTCATCCTTAAAACCTGAGCAGGAGGAAACGGATTTCACCCCATCATACAAACTGTTACAAGTGCTCACTCGAAGCTTCTTTACACCACATTTACTCCTCTACACAAACTTGATTTTATCCCCTTTAAAAGCTCTTTGCCCCCCTCACACACTGATTAGCAGATGACCCTCTAACCCACTGAAGGAAATGTAATCATTTATTTATTGCTTCTGACATTAGAGCTGCTTCTATAAACTGTTTCAGATCTTCAGAAAAAGAACCGCTGCTAACACTTCTGTGCATTGTCCAGCCACACGTTCATGTGATACCAGTTTACACCACTAGATGGTGCAGTGAGTCAGTGTAACGTGGAGGAGGGTCACCTTGTCGAAGAGCTCGAACAGTTTTGCGCTCGGCTGGTGGATGGTGCAGATAACCGTCCGTCCTCCTCGAGCCAGAGCTTTGAGCAGAGACACCACTTGGAAACATGACGAGCTGTCCAGGCCACTGACACACACGCACACACACACACACACACACACACACACACACACACACACACACACCTTCATAGAAGCTCAGCATGAAGCAGAAACATGACCAAACATCACTCACATGTAGAATTTGAAGTACAGCTTGTTCTGATCAAACGTCTGAAATAAGTCAATTAAAAATAAAACAGCTGTGCTTTGGCACGACTGATCTCTGAGGCAGCGAAACCATTTCACACAGGTGAGTGGCGGGACCAGGAGTCGAACCACAGGTCTCCCTGCATGATCCTATGTGTCAGGCATAACGTTTAAAATGAGTCTGCACAGTCTGAAAGGCTCTAAAAGCGTTCAGCCTGCGCGATTCAAAAAATGCTTTAGTGCAAAGATTTAAAGTTGGTTAGGAAGACTGAGCTGACTGAGTGGAATGGTTCAGCTGCTTTTCATTGGCTGAGGACAGAGCACCGTGGTCAGGACTGATATCCGACCTTCTGTGACCTTCTGCCAGCTTGGGATGAACCACGGAGAGGACCTGGAGGTCAACCTGATTTCTTACCTCGTGGGTTCATCGAAGAACATGACCGGCGGATTGTTGACAAGCTCCAGAGCGATGGCCAGCCGCTTCCTCTGCCCCCCCGACAGGTGAGACGTCCTGGTTTGAGCACATTCCAGCAGACCCAGAGCCATCAGGATGTCCCGGACCTGAAGGAGCAGAGATCCGAGTTCAGCCTGAGGGTAGAGTCTGAGATCAGGGAGGCCAGGAGCGATCGGCTCACCATGTCTCTGCGCGCCTCCTCCTTCTGCAGCTTCAGGCTGGCCGACACCTGCAGAAACAGAGAGCAGGGTCTGCGATTACTGCGGTCTGCAGTAGGCTGAACGCTGAGGCTCAGCAGCACCTACCATCATGGCCTCCTGGACACTGAGGTGAGGCAGCAGCATGTCGTCCTGCATGATGTAACAGGAAACCTTCCGGAAAGAGCGCAGGTCTCTGGGCTGCCCGTTGATCAGGATCTCGCCCTTCATCCCCGTCTCCCTGTACGCAAAGACAGACGTGCACTGAGCGCGCTCTGGACAGATCCACTGACCTGCAATCAGTAATCAGATTCTTCACTAGCATTTACTGACACACACAGAGGTACAGCAGGCCGATGTGAGGATGCGGTAAAGCTCTCAGACTGAGATGTAACATGATCTGAAAACATTTTTAAAACATCTGCAGCTGAGAGCGCTATGACCTCAACCTCACACTCAGTCATCATCTCCGCCCTGATGGATGCACCCACCTGTACCCGGCCAGGATATTCATGAGCGTGGACTTTCCGGCTCCTGAGGGCCCCATGATAGCCACCAGGTCCCCACTGGTGAATTTCCCAGAGATGGCTTTGAGCAGAGTTTTGTAACCTGAGGCGAACAGAAACAATCAATGTGCAGGTTTCCCAGCCGCTCACAGAGCCGCTCTTTGTGCTCGAACTCTCGGCTCAGGTTTCCCATCAGTTTGGAGTTTTTCTCTCATTCATGCAGACCAGCAGCTGCTCTCACACTTTAGCCGCTCCGCTCGGCTTCTGTGCAATAAACAAACACTCCCGCTCATCCTAAAGGCTCACTGCTGATGTTTCAGTGCTGACGGTCTGTACTCAGGTCAGTTACGGAACTCGGTGAGGCTCGTGCATCGTCCCGAAACAGACCACGTTTCTCCTGGACCTGCAGATGTGCAGGTCCATCAGAGACCCTCCCAACCCTTCAGCTGTCCCTCACTTACTCCGAGCAGCTACCCTGATCATAGTGTGACCAACCAGAACATTTACATCAGCGTGAGTCCAAAAACCCTGCAGCAATCATGAAAACATCTTCAGTAATCTGCTGTTAGTGTTTTGTCCTCACAGTGAGCTCAGCATCAGACTTATCCACAAGTTTCACAGTCTCAAAGCAAACAGTCACTCATGACTGAAACACAGTGAAGCACACATGTAAGAACGTGTGTGCCGGGCTGAGAAACCACGAAGAATGTGCTGACACCTGAAAACCTGTCTCAGAGACCAGGTTTCTGAGGTTGTCGTTATTAAAACTGAGGAGTGTGTTACACGTTACACACAGAGGCTGAACGCGCTTTAATGAGATTATTAGATTTAATCTGACCAACAGTACCCTCCGCACACTGTACACCCAGATGAACGTCCTCAACTCAGTACCACCCATGACTGTACACCAACCCACCAGCCAATCGTCATGTATGCCGATGACACTGCTGTGGTTGGGCTCATCTCTGATGGAGATGAGACAGCGTACAGGGTGGAGGTAGAGAACTTGTCCTGCTGGTGCTCAGAAAATAACCTGAAGCTGAACATCCTTCAAACCAGAGAACACATGGACTTCTCCCTGAAGTCCATGATGGAGAACGGGTGGTACTCGGGGGCCACGACCGAGAGCAGAAAGACAGCTATTACAACTATTCTAGCCTGTTAGCGCCTCGTACATGCCCCATTACATCAACCCTCACGTCTTCATCTGCTACTCTGCTTCATGGATCTATCTTTCTGGCCTTTTAATAACATGTGATCGCATGTTAACAGATTCTGTTGGCCTGAAAAGCATCAAAGAAACAATCAAAGGTTTTGTGTGAAAATTACAATAGAAAACCTGTAAATGTTTTCAAACTCACACCTGCACGCTGTTTTCGTGCACCTGAGCAGGTGTGAAATGTTCTCAGTGAAACTCAGCTTTTCTAATATGAACAAAGAGTTTGGCTGAGCTCCATAATAATGGTCTGTAACCTGAGGCTATCAGAGTCTCTAACAGATCTAGTTTCAGCTAGAGGTTCCCGGCACAGCTTTACACAAGCACTATGTTCATTTTCTTGCTCAGGACCAATCAGAGGTAAGATGAGGTAAAGACCGTACAATGATAGAAGGAAAACAGAAAACCCCAACAATCAAATGACCCTCTATGAGCAAGTACTATGTGACAGTGGGAAGGAAAAACTCCCTTTTAACAGGAAGAAACCTCTGGCATCTTGTCGTCCTTCTCTCGCCCCAACCAATTACAGCATATGGCCCCGCCCCTCCCTGAGCCTGGTTCTGTCGGAGGTTTCTTCCTGTTAAAAGGGAGTTTTTCCTTCCCACTGTCGCCAAAGTGCTTGCTCACATTGGTCATATGATTGTTGGGTTTTTCTCTGTATGTGTTATTGTAGGGTCTACGTTACAGTATAAAGTGGATTTAGGCAACGGTTGCTGTGATTTGGAGCTGTGTAAATAGAATTGAATTGAATTGAATTGAATTGAAAATTGAATATTAACACATAGTGAGTGAAGAAGAAACACCCTGTGCATCATGGGAAGGGATTCCCTAAAATAACAATCCGACCCATTCTCAAGCCTGAGCAGAGCTCAGATGTGGGCGGGTTCACGAGCGGTGACATCATCGCTTGTTTTCTTGTTCTTGCGTCTTTATTTTCAGGCAGCGAGCGACGGCGCGTCCTCCAATCTGACCTGCAGCTATTTACAGCAGAAGACCCAGCTGAGATTAACAGATTACAGCCGCTAATCCAGCGAGCGCACAAACACACAGCAGCCAAACCGAGAGCACCCAACGGCTGCCTGCTGACGCACAGCCCATCATTAACAATAAAAAGTCAAAAGATGTCAGATCTTCTCTTGCGTTCTGCAGACTCAGCACCTCTGTGAGGTTCAGGGCGGCTCTGATGTTGGTGTTCAAAGGTCAATGGTCACTGTGACTGTCTTTAGTCAGTCTTAGGTTGGCCTGATCCACATCTCTGTGGAAGCCTTTTAAAATAGAAGCATTCAGACCAGCTCCTCCTGCTGTCCTGATACTTTTTGCTGTTATAGGAGCGTGACTCAGGACCTGTAATGAATAAACCAGCTACAACACAAGGCTGAATCGTGCTCTGGATTATTTTCCACCCTTCAGGCATTAGCTGGCATTGAATTTACAGTGACAGTGTGTTTATTTTCTGAACCTCTGCCATCTTTGTTTTGTGTATGACTCTACCTTTCTTCCTCCACCAGGGTCCCTCTCTGACCACGAAGGAGACGTCTTTGAACTCAATGTTGACCGCGGGTCTGCGAGGTAATGAGGAGAACCTCTGGGCCTCCATCAGGTTGTTGTCCACCTTCTTCAGGTGTCCCTGCAGCAGTGGCGTCTGCTGGCTGCCCGCCAGCCGCTTGTTGACCACCTCATCCATACAAAGACAAACTGTCCGGGGATCCAACATAAGGTCAGGGGGCCCGTTGGTATTCTGAAGGTGAATAAAAGGAATCCGGCTTAAGACAACCATAGCTGACCCTCTGAGAATGTAAGCAAAAAGGTCCATCAATCCATCCATCCATCCATCCTCATCATCATCATCATCATCATCATCATCATCATCATCATCCATCCATCCATCCATCCATCCATCATCATC